TAGCTGAAGTATATTTTTTCTAAATGGTATTAATGTGCCTTTGAGCCTTTGGCCTCAAATCTCAACTCTGTACGTACAGCTGTGTGCCCGTGGGCAAGACTCTCAGCCTCTCTCTGCCTCAGTTCTCTTATCTGTAAAGTGGGGACAGTCATCATAGCCCCTAATTTAAAAAGGGAACACATGCAGAGGATGCAGGTAGTTAGTGCTCAGTGACTATTAGTCATTGGCATTCATTTTGGGGATTTTTTTTTTTACAATAACTATGAAAGCTTCACAATGTAGCAATGAACAGTTTGTGTCTCCTTTGTCTTCATGTCTCCACGAACAGGGTTTAAAAGCAGGGTTTTGGGGTTTTTTTGGCTTACATATATAGTGTTTATTCTCACTGTGAGTTTGTTCATGTTTTTGACAAGAAGAATGAGATGAAGTTCTTCCCACATTGCTTACATACATAGTGTTTCTCCCCAATGTGAGCTCTTTCATGTATTTTACAATAACTTTGTGAGCTGAAAGCTTTCCCACATTGCTTAGATACATAGGGTTTCTCCCCAGTGTGAGTTCGCTCGTGTCTTTGACAATGACTCTGTTTGTTAAAAGCTTTCCCACTTGCTTACATACATAGGGTTTTCCCTCAATGTGAGTTCTTTCATGATGACTAAATGGAGTGTTGTTATTTAAGGATTCCCAGCAGTGTTTATATACAGGGGATTTTGTTCCAGTGTGAGCTCTTTCATGTTTCTGAATATCATGGTGAGAATTCAAACTTTTTCCATGATATATATATATATGTATGTATGTTTTCACTCACCCTACTGTCATTTCTTTCCTGGACTTGAACATAGTTGGGTGTACTGAAGGCTCTCACATCTTGCTTATATTGAAAGGATTTTTCTTCAACGTTACTTCCTTCAATACAATCAGAGTAGGATTTTCCACATTGCTTATAGCCATAGGGTTTTTCTTCAGGATCTGACTTTGCATGTTTCTGAATGGACCAAAAGTCAGTGGAGGTTTTCTCATGTCTGTTAGGGCTAGACAGCTTCTGTTCAAATCCATGGAGCTCATATGATTTGAGTCCAGCATTATGTATGATGGGCATGGTGGGTGATGAATGACCAATCAGAGGCTTTCCACATGCAAGGCTTTCACCTGCTTTTATTCCAAGATGTTTCATGTACACATTTGTATCAGGAATCATAAAAACCATTTTTCCATGTTGATAACATAATTTATATTGAGAGCATTTATTTACATCTGCACTTCTTAACTTTTTCCTGAAATTTTTGTACTCATCTTCACTTTGCTGATCATCCCAGTTTCTTCCTATAGCAGTCAGATTCCTAAAGTTTTCCCACATCACATCTCTGTGGAGCTTCTTCTGAGATGGAGCCAACAAAGCCCACTCCTCCATGGTGACGTCCACTGCCACATCCTCAAAGGTCACTCTCTTCATTGTGGCTGGAGGGTCTCCCCGGGTGCTTCCTGCAGCCTGCAGCCAGTAAAAATCCTAAAGCAGAAAGGCCCAGCCAGCTGGACAGCTCTCATCCCTGTGCTCAGGATCTGGGCTTTGGAGCTAGGCAAAAGCAGGGGTTTTAAAAACTAGTTTCCTAGTACAACTAGCTACTCTCTAAAAATAGAAAAGAATCAAAGTAATTACTGTTGCTACCTTTGCGCTATTTATTTCCAGGGATGATTCTCTGACTTTTGCTTTATTCCCCCCATTCTAGAGCAAGGGGAAAGGTGTCAAGAAAGAGGAGGGACCCAGTGTGTGGGGGGAAACGCCCCAAATAACACAGGCACAGAAGTGTCCATACATCGGGCCACCTGGGACAGGGACCACTTGTCTCAGCATTTGAAATTACTCCACTTCCTGCTAGGTGAGACTTTCTGAAACTCCAGGGATCCCATGATGCTTGGGGTTACCAGTTCCCAGCAGGAATGCCAGAAGTGTGTGTGTGTGTGTGTGTTTGTGTACACACATGTGCACAAGTCAGCATGTCTGCTTGTGTTTCACATTTCAAGCCTTCGTCCTCGGAGGGCTGTGTCCAGCAGGCCTCTACTCAGGTGCCAGCCAGGAGACTGAGCTCAGAGACCCGCTTTGATTTCACAGAGCACAGTCAAGGCACTGTTTTTGATAGAAGAGCCAGCCTTGGCTGCTGAATAAGAAATAGTCCTCATCCATAATGCATGAATTTCCTTCTAAAGAAGAAAGAAAGAAAAGTAAGTCTAAATCTAGCATAGGCTGGAAAAAGAAGAGTGATTTAAAACGCCATTCAGAACAGGCCAGGAGCTTTTCTCAGCTAATTTACACTTCTTGGGGCTTGTGAGGAAGGCCCAGAAGTGGGGTTAGCCAGGTAGGATGGGGTGCGCTGGCCTGCTTAGGAAGAGCTGCAAGGAGAAACCAGAGCGGGTGAGGAGGGGGAGACAGGACCACGCACGCAGAGGGGTGCTTCCTAACTCGGATATAATTTCACTCAAGTAGTCTGGATCCTCGTGAGGGTTTTATTTTGGGATCCTCACACTGGCTGTGGTGTTCACAAGCTGAAACACAGCTACAAATGCCCGGGAGGGGAACATATGGGTCAGGGTCACAACAGAATTTCATTCCTCCTGGGCTGCGGTCTGAAACTTGGCACCCAGCATGGGAAGGAGCCTGTTGAACGTGTTAAATGACACTTCCAGAGATTCTCTCATTGTTCTTTCAGTCACAGTGACAGCGGAGGACCTCCCAGGACCCATTGCTAAAAAAAAAAAAGTTAGTTTTGGAAATACTACGGGGTAATGTTTGTAGTACAATGAATAGTGTCCTCCCAAAAAGATGTGTCCAGGTCCTAACCCAAGGGACCTGTGAATGTGACTCTAATACAAACAGGTGTCAGATGCATTCTGGCAAGGGCTGTGCCTCTCTGCATTTGGAGTGAGCCCTAAGTCCACTGACTGGTGTCCTCAGAAGACAAGAGGAAGCAAGGAAACACAGGGCAAAGGCCGTGTGCAGACAAAGGCAGGGGTCAGTGTGAGAGCGCCAAGGGCCAGGCCAGTCGCCCGCAGCTGAAGGGGCCAGGAAAGACCCTTGCCCAGAGTCCGCAAAGGGAGTGGGGCCTGACAGCACCTTGATTTTGGATTTCTATCCTCTAGAGCAGTTCAAGAGTAAATTGCTGTTGTTCAAAGCCACCCAGGTTGTGGCGATTTGTCACAGCAGCCTTAGGAACTAATACGATGCTTCAGACCTAAATCCCTGCGGTCTCATGTTGTCCCATTTTCCTGTCACTTTTATGCTTCAGCCACAGTGCATTTCTGGGAATTTCCATTTGCTCCCTATTTCTTCCTTTACTGGTGTCCTCACTAGTGCTCTCCCCTGGCTCATCCTTCCACAAGTGCCTAGCAACATCTACATTTCAGAATTAAGCTGTCTGCATCAAGGCAGCCTTTCCCGACAGCTCCCTCCACAGAATATTCCACCCCCAGACTGTGCTGTGGCCTGAGCAGGGTGTAACTGGTCCTTTGTTTTTGTGACTGAGCTGCTTCTCCTCCCAGTCCACCCCATCCATTCATTCAACAAACCCGTAAGAACTCCTACCTTCCTGGAGCTACTAGCTGGACGGGGGCAGCTGATGTTTGCATGACAAAGGTTCTTTTTAAAGAAATATTGGTGCACTAATAGACACGAGAGCCACCCACAGGTACAGTGGCTTCAAACACGAGAAAGGAAAACATGTCAAACATTTAGAACAGAGCCTGGCCCAAAGAAAGGACTCTATCAATTCTAGTCGTTGTGAAGGTGTCTGCTGTTAAGGAGTTACTATTGGAAAAAACAGTGTGTGGCCCATATAGAGCATGTATCTGGGCCAAATCCTGCTGTTTTTCTACAAGGCAGGAGAAGGAAGGAACAGCTGTTGGCTGTGTGGAAAACTGCACAGACCTTTTGCCACTGTCACTCAATGTCTGTGTCTGTGTCTGTATGTCACTTTCTGTCACCTGTGCAAGGGCACACACATGCAGATACACATAGGTCCCATGGCTCTGTGTCTTCCACGTCACCCCACATACTTGGCCATGGCCGTCAGCTTTCCTAGTGATGGTGGGGCCACAGGGGAAGATCTCAGAGTCCATTTCCTTCGACGGCTGAGCCGGCAGGAACAGCGGGCAGGCTGTCTGCCATCACAGTAACAAATTATTATAAGCTTCATGACTTAAAGTGGCACAAATTTAGTATCTTGCAATCTGGAGGTCGGAAGTCCAAGTGGGCTGTCATGGTCGATCTTGGTTGTCAACTTGATTAGCCCGACAAAGCCCTAGGGGATTAGTAAAGCACACTTCTAGGTGTATCTGGGGCACCCAGTCTTGGGCATGTGGCCTTGGGGGCGTCTAGCTGGACTCTGGCCCCTTCCTCTCTGGCTCATCCCCTGCTTCTTTCCAGATGCCATGAGGTGATCACCTTTCTTCCACCATGTCCTTCTGCCACGTTTCTGCCTTGTAACCAGCTGACGAATGACTGAAACTGTGAGCCAACATAAATCCTCCTTTAAGTTGTTTATGTCAGACATTTTGTCCCAGCAACTTAAAAGTAAGTAATATGTAGGAACAATAGGGCTAGATTCCTTTTGGGGGCTTGAGAAGAGAGGCCACTCCTTGCTTTGTCTGGCACTAGATGTTGCCCCCATTCCTGGGCTTGTGGCCTCTTCCGTCTTTGAAGCAGGCACTGCAGTGTCTTCTAATCTCAATCTCTCAGAGTCTCTCTCTCTCTCCCTCTCTGTCTGTCTCTCCCTCTTTCCCTTGCTTCCATTGTCATGTCTCCTAGGATTCTGGCTTCCTGTCCCCCTCATATAAGGAACCTTGTGATTCTACTGTGTCCACTTGAATAATCCAGGTTGAAGTCCCCCTCTCAAGATCTTTAACTTAATACCATTTTCAAAATCCTCTTGGCTTTATAAGCCAACATATACACAGGTTGGGGGCAGGGATTTAGCTTAGTGGTTCTGCCGCCTGCCTCACAAGCAGCAATTCCCAGTACCAAAAAAAAAAAAAAAAAACCCCCCCAAAACAAAAAACAAACATATACATAGGTTTCTGGGATTAGGATGTGCACATCTCTGGGGGGTGGCTGCACCCACACAGCGAGCCATGGGAGTGGACTTTTCTGGTGGTTCTGGGCCCCAGGGGAGGTACCCCGCACCTGTTTCCTTCCAGGTGTGAGTTAGCAGATGCCACAGTCCGCCATGTGGTCTCCCTTACAAACCTGCAGGATGCCTCTCAGTTACAGCTGGCTTGCTCATGATTCCTTGTTAATGTTCATGTCTGGTGGGCCACCTGCTGTATGGACGCTGATGTATTCCCAGTAGGGAGACAGACTGTCTGCTTTACCTTGTGCTCATGTGACACTGTGACATGGGAAAGGAAGTTCTGTTCAAATGCCCTTTCCACTCCCCACTTCCATGTCTCCCAGTGGCTGCGAAGGCAAAGGTGGCAGAGTCCTATCAGGACATGGAATGCAGTTGAAATGTATTGTGTTTTCAAGAATCCCTGGTGAACGTGTCCCTTCCATGGGCCGAAGGGCCAAGCCCTTTGGGGAGCTTGTCTGAGCCACAGGAGGGATCCAGTGGCTGTGTAGCCTACTGCAGGGAAACTGACAATGGGCAAGTGTCACATGAAGATGCTCGTTCTGGCTTTGCAGACCCGGAGTGCTGTGCCTACGATGGACACAGCCATCGTCATGTCCTGTTAGACAAGACTCGGCACCAGTTCACACTGTCCCTACATTGCCCACCCTCCAGCCTCCTTCCTCCTGCCCCTGCAGGCCCCTAGTTTGTGCTGCTGCATCTGTGGCTCTCGGGACACAGCTCTCCACACCGAGGCTCAAGAATTTTGCACGGATCAAGTGGATAATGGTCTCATCTCACCACAGGGTCCTGCCGCCTTCTCCCCAGGCTCCATCCTCATCTCAGTTGCTCTGCAGGCCCAGAGTACAAAGAAACAGGAGCATCTGTGGCATGGCATGGCTCACAATTCCCTGGAGCACTGGCCCCTGCCATGTGCCCAAATCCCAAGCTGGGAAGCAAAGAGGCATAGAGGCTTTATGGGTTTCCTGTGGCTGCTGTAACAAATCAGCACAAACTGGTGGTTTCCCATAGCCAAAATGTCTCCTTTCATACTCCTGGCTGCCTCTTCCAGTTTCTGGTGGGTCCAGGGGCTCTGAGCCTGTGGCCACATCTCTCCCATCTCTGCCTGTCTTCACGTATATTGGTTAGGGTTCTCCAGAAACAGCATCAATACTCTCTATATAATTATAAAGGGGGCTTCCTAGACTGGTTTACAGGATCAGAGGCTGCAGAGGATCCGGAAGCCACTCAATCTAAAAGAAACTGGATGCTGCGCCCAAGGAGGGACCCAGGACGCAGGCCTGGTGCAAGCTGAAAGCTTTGTTGCTCCCTGGAGAGTCACTCGTGTGACTGAAAGGCTGAAGAAGCTGGAGCTGGAGGTCCACAGGCAATGGCAGCAAAAGACCAGTCCACTCAAGCAGAATGGAGCTTGTGAGTGCTGGAGGAACCGCCTTCCACTTTTGTCCCATCTGGGCCCCCATCCTACTGGTCAGCACCACCCAATTCTAGGCGAGTTTTGTCCTTTCAGTTTGCTGGCCCACATGCCAATTGTCTCACACTGAGAGGGCGCTTCATTAATCTCTCAATCCAATCAAGCTGGCACTCGAGATTAACCATCACATGGTCTCTTCTCTTCTGTCCATCCTCTCTCTCACCTCCCTCAATGGCTCTGATAAGGATACATGTGATTCCATTCAGGGGCTCTGTTGAGATCCTTAATTTATTCCCATCTCTCCATCCTGAAAGGTGACTGATGTTCACTCTTTTGCTGTTGACAGTAATACAAGTTTCAGGGATTCAGGACAGGCATATCTTCTGGGGCCACCATCCAACCCCCTACAGGAGAACGTCAACGCCTCTGGACACAGTTGGGCCTGGAACCCAAGTTCAGTTTGTGTGACTCCTGGTTGCCTGGTGTTGGGCAATTGCCTTACCCTTGAAAGTCTCTGCCTCAATGTCACTGAAATGGGATTATGAACAGAACTCACAGAGCAGCCATGATGGCTCCTTCAGCTAACGCAAGGCACACAGCCTGAGGCTGGGCACTCAGCAAGTGTTCAGTCCACACTGACAGGAACTGAGCATTGTGCAGACACTTACCAAGGCACAGACTCTTCAAGATGTGTGCTGGGGTGATGTGAGACCGCTTAAAAGATGGGAATGGTTTCTGAACAGAGAAAAGAAAGCTCTGTGTGTCAGAGTTGTTCATCTGCATCCTGTGGGAATTATTTAAGCATAGAAACTGGAATATGGTGGAGATGCCTAGAGGATAGAAAGACTGAAAAAGCGCAGGGAAAAAAAAATCTTCCTACAAGGAAGATCTTGGCCACGAGACTGGCTTCTTGGTCTTGTCTGGGTGGCAGCCCTCTCATGAGCCGCCTCTGACTTCCGTGTCCTTTGGACAGGACCCTCTAATTTTTTGAGCATCTCCTTTTCTGCATGGCGAGATAATTTTCCTGCCCAGCCCTTGGAATGGACCATTTCTCAAGCAGCCCGGTTCAGTGGAGAGTGGTATTTAGAAACAAAGATGGCGCCAACCTGTGCTCGTCACTACTAGGGTAGCAGTGCTGCTTGGCCTCGGGAGGGACCGTGCCTGCGTGGGTGCTTCGTACGTACGTACGTACGTACGTACACGTGCCTGTGTTACATGAGTTCACACTGATATCATTCATTCCAGGGGGCTCTTTCTTCCCTCTCCATTCCACACGGGCGTTTCTCTTCTCCCACAGGGGAAACCCTGGCTCTCAACGAAATCCAGACATCCGCCGATTTATTTAATCCTGAAACACACACAAAATAATTTCGGAATTGTGCCCAAACCTCTGCAGCAATAGGTTTACAAGACAGAGTTCAAGATTCATTTACAGTTCTTTTTTTTTGCCATCAACCTGAGAGTTGGAAGCCCCAGTGAGGTTTAGAAGTTGTTTTGTGTAGTGCCCTCCACATGGGGGTATAATTCATTCCAGACATAGTGAGCTGCCTTGTTTCTGTTTCTATTCGTTCTTAGAGTTCTGTTCATTCTCCTGACATATCTAAAACACCAGAAAGGTTCTCAAGAGAAGAGTGTGAAACAGCAGACAGGTACAGTGTCACACCCTCCTACCCGTGTACCATGCTCTCACCGGCCCCGTCTATAACCTGTTTCATTAATCTATGGTTAATTGGACCTATACTTCTTTAAAAAAAATAAACAAAAATATATAAAACAATAATAATGGTTACCTAGAAAGGAGAGTAGAAACTGGTTACTCTATTACAGTCACCCCCACGCCAGTATCCAAGGATACTAGGGCTCCCCAGGGACACCAAATCTTCTGGGCCTTACATGGCCTTTACGTAAAATGACATTTTGCATAAAACCTATGTATATTGTCCCATGTATTTTAAATCATTTCTAGATGACTTAGTGGTACCCTGGTTCACAAACTTGATTCTTTCCACAATTTTGATCACAAACCAAGTTGGGCCGGAACCAAATCAAATTCAATGATTAGGTTCAATGTTGACCTTATGGGGAAATTTGATTCGGTTCTTGTCCAGTTGGGTTTTCGACGAAAATCGTGGAGAAAATTGAGTTCATGAACCGAGGTACCATTATATAAGGTAAATGCTATGTGCATAGTTGTTACATTGTATCATTTAGAGAATAATAAGAAAAATGTCTATGCATATTCAGTATAGATGCAGTTTTCTTAAGTAATATTTTGGATCTGTGATTGGCAGAATCCGTGGATGCAGCACTGGCAGATAAGGAGAGTGAACTATATTTTAAAGAAAATGAATTAATGTAGCAGGGAATTTTTAAGTAAATGAATGGAGGTGGTTCAGGGTTAGCTATTCCCTGTGCAATGTGGGCTCTGTCTTTCCATCTCCAAGACCATCCCTGAAGCAAAGGGTGCAGGGTTTGCTGGTCACCACTGCTGCTCCTCACCCCACTGCAGCCCTAGAGGAGTTTGAGGGTGCTCCCAGGGAGTGCAGCCCTCCTGTCCTGAACTCTCATTGCCTTCCAATCTCTCAGACTCTTCTTTTTCCACCCCTTGAAATTGCTCTCTGGTCCCCAGCACAGATGATGTTAAAAATACCCACCTGTCCCCATTTGCAGACCCCAGTTCCTGGAGCCCTGGGGCCTTCCCTGGTGGTGACTCAGCAGCTGGCTCAGGAAATGCGACTGTCAGGATGCATTTGGCTTCCATGACATTGACAGGCTGGGTGGAGAGGGCTCTGCATGGCCCCAGGAGCCAGATCCTCCTAATGGCATCCTGCAGGGGGATCCCAGGATGAGGCTGGGAAGCAAAGCAATGTGTGAGGAAGGTTGTGGGGAATCTGCTGCCCTGCACACTCCGAGGTCTGACCTCGTCTCCCCTTGTGCCTCCCTTCCTCTCTGTACCCCCTACCCCAGGAGCCAGCTGCTCCCTTCTTTCTCTCCATTTGCCCTGGTCCTCTGCCTTTTCATGAACCCAAAACAATCTTTCCAGAGATCTCCTGGAATGAGGTCATTCTCCTCACTCAACCCCAAGGTCACCTTGCAGGGAAGGCTTTTCTAATAATTTAAATGTGTGATGGGACTGTGACAAGTGTATGAAAGGAAATAATACAAGGAAGAGGAGTGGGATGCCAAGAAGGGACTTGAAACCTAAATTTGGGGTCAACATATTCAAACAAAAACTTAAACAAGTGATAGAATAAGCCATATGCGTTTCTGGAAGAATGGCAAGTGCAAAGGCCCTGGGGCAGGAGGGTGGCTGGCAGTCTGAGGACCAGCAGGGAGGCAAGTGCGTTACAGCTTGTGACCAAGGCAGAAAGTAGCAGACATGAAGCCCAAAATAGCATGGGGAGCCAGACTGTCACAGTTGAGGCCTTGCCAAGGACTTTTAGTGGGAGCTACAGTCAGCATACATCTTGAAATGACAATGACAGTTCCTCTGTGGTTATTAGAGGTGGGAGGGCAAGGGGAAAATTGGGAGGCCAGCTGGAGATGATTAGGAGCTCACTGGGAAGGAGGAGGAGTATCACAAACTGAGGAATGGTCAGTGAAGGAGTGAGCGGCTGGAAGGAGCCAGCGTATCCAGTGAACTGAAAACAGATGGCTGAGGGGCTGGGAGATGGGGCCCGCAGGGGTAGGCAGGGGCCACTCTCCTGGTCCTGTGGCCTCCATGCTGGGGCTGCGGGTGGGCTCCCCTGGGTTGGGCCCTGTGGGTGGCAGGGTGAGACCCACATGGCCCCTGCACATTTTTCTGGTCAGACCACTGGAAAGTTTGGGTCCAAATGACTTTCCTCCTCCTAAACACAGAGCCTCTGGAGCCCGAACCAGTCGCACAGTGATTTAATTTCCCACCACAGAAAGCCCACCGCCCTGCATTTGCTTTGATTTCTCATTCCCCTCATCCAACCGCTGCTGAGCTGTTACTTTGTGCTGGAGCCATGATTCAGCTCTCCACCCAGCCTCAAACCGACTTCCACCCTGGTACGGGCAGACCTAACCCGAAACATTCTTCACAAGTCTCATTTAGCTCAGTGGCGGCGCAGCATTTCTGCTGGAGTCTGCCAGCCAGGATGGCTTTGATCTTGGCTGAGGCCGTTTGCCTTCAGAATCCCTAATGTGCTGATGGCCCAGAGGCCCCAGAGGCTGCATCGGTTTCCTCCCTCACTCCTGGGCCGGACCCCTTGCTGCTCCTGGGCCTCATGGGCCTGCCTGGGGAAGGCCTGGAGGCCCCGGAAGCCCTGGAGGGCTGGGGCAGAGGAGGGACTGGACACAGCCCTGCAGCCCCCAGCTGTGTGAAGGTGGGAGCCAGCACTGGCCCCAGGGAGAAGGAAGTGCCCAGGTGGTAGCCAGGCCAGGGCCAGTGGCTTGGTCACACATTGCCTCGCCTCACCTCGCCTGCGCTGGCTGCTCATCCTGCCTCGGGGTGGGCTGAGGATCCTGGGGTGACTTGAGTGATCTCGCTCTCAGGCTTTTTCTGGAACACGCCTAATAAAGATGAATGAGCTGCCTGCTCTGGTGCTGGCGCTGGGAATCGTTGGGAACAGAGCTCTTTTCCACTGTTCTGTGAATCGCGGAGAGTATTAAATTATCTTAATCTGAAAATTAAAAAAAGTCCGAAGACTGCGCCAGTCTTCCGGAGAGGGAGTCGGGCCGAGGAGTGAAGGAACATTCCAGAACCTTCTGTGCTCCCAGCCTGGTGTCCCCCTGCCGCCTGAGGGATGGATGCTCCTCAGAATGAATCTGAGCACCATCAGAACAGCAGGCCGGGTCCTGTTCATGGCGGAGCTGAGCAGCAGCGTTCCCAGGAGGGAGCGCTGAGTCAGGAGCAGCTGGCAGGCACGGGCGGACAGGTACCCGAGTCTGGGGCAGTGTGGCACAGTGGTCCCCAGGGTGGGCTCGGTCTGGAGATCCTGACCCCGAAGTCCAGCCCTGCAGCCACAAGGGCTGTGAGCTCGGCAAAGCTCGGAACCTTGGCGGGGTTGTGCTGCTCCCCTTTGGGGGGCTATGAGAGGAAGACTGTCCCTGTAATGGGTTTAGCCAGTGAGGCGCCGAGAAGGCAGGACACTCGCCTGTGGTTACACAGCAAGGTGTACGGCAGAGGTGGGATCTGAATCCAGGCAGTTGGACCTCAGGGCCTATGTTTGACAGCCTCACTAAGCATACGTGGGCCGGCACCTCGCCACCTAGTTCTTGTAATGTCAAAGGGTACTAGTTACATCGCACTTTCCTCATTTGTAAAAATGAAAACAATTCCTAACTCCCAAGTATTATGGCTGAGAATGAAGGGACAGGGTGTTTATATGGCCAGGGCTTGTCGCTGCTTAACGGTAGTTTTGGTAGTTGTGATGGTGGCTCCTGCCTACCAAGAGCCTCTTAGGTGCTGTTCTGGCTAAGTCACGTCCCTCCTAAGCTGGCGCTCTGAAGCCCTGGCCCCAAGTGAGTGTGCTACAGGTAGGTGGAGGGCACTGAGGTGAAACGAGGTCACGGTGTGGGGCCGAATCCAATAGGATCACTCTCCCAATAAGAAGGGGAAGAGAGCCAGAGCTCGTGCACTCTCTTTCATGCCCAGGAAATCTCACTTGGGACGCAGCAGGCAGACAGCCAGTCTCTCCCAAGCCAGGAAGGAGCTCACCAGAAGCCAAACTGCCTGACACCTCAGTCGGACTTCCCAGTCTCCAGAACCGTAAGGAGCCCATGTCTTTGCTTAAGCCACTGGTTTGCAAGGTTTTGTTCGTCAGCCTGAGCTAAGACGCATGCCATCCTCTGTATGGACACTTGCTCTCATCTAGCGTGGCCCACACTCAGGTGCAGTGTGCTGAGAGCCCAGCTCAGGGTTCCCCTGCAGCTTTCTCATTTCATCTGCACTGCGGGGCGGCATGGTAGGGGTGCTGGCTCTGTCACAGACAGCTGAGTGAGGTAGAAATATTCCAGGCAGTCAGACAGGGCTGAGCCCTTCAGAGAGTGAATGCAAAAGATGAAAACACATCACAGCTATGGCTAGAGGTGCGTCTGTTGGAGGCCAGGCCTCAAGATAAAGACAGAATGACCAGGCTCACCTGCTTCTCCAAGGGATAAGTGGTAACACCTGGCCAATAAAATCTAGATAGAAGTCCCCAGGTGGGTGACCAAGACCCCCCAGACCCATCCCTTCCTAAAAATGTTCTTTGTTCTTTCCATGTACCCTTGCTACATGACCTGCTTCCCCATTGGATCAATATTACCTAAGCGGCGATACTCATAATCTCATTGGTTGATCATAGCTTTAACCCATGTGGTACCCACCTTGTGATTTTGCTCTATAAAACTTCCCCTGTGAAGTGGGGTCCACGGCAACCCACTCGGGCCCCCTCCTGCCTCTCAGGAGCTATCCTCTCAATAAATATTTCCTGCTCTTAACCTCCATTGTTCCTTAAAATTCATTCTTCAGTTTGGGGGAACACAAACTGGTGTATCTGACATCTAGCAGGTTGGGAGTTGTAATATTTCCCCTGTATCATTTGGAGGTCCTGTGTCAGCTCTATTCTCCCGACTGAGGACCCTTAACAACCTCAGGAAGAGCAGGGCTCCCCTTGCCCTTCTCTGCCCCCCATAGCCTCCCTCTCTGGGAATAGAGGGGCCTGGGCTGCAGAAAGGGTGTAGCCTCTCCCTTCCCTAAGGCCGTTTGAGCCCTGGGGCCCTACGGGAAGGTGCTGTCCCCCAACTGCCACCCCCGGGCAGCTTCCCAGAAGGCCTTTGGTGACCAGAAGCCACCAGGGTCACCCGTGGGAGGACCCTCTGGTTTCCTGCAGAACAGGAATGAGCACAGGGCAGGGCTGGTGCTGCCCCTCACAAGCAGTGCCATCCAGCGTGGCCCCCAGGTCACTGCAGGTCCCCCTCACCCCTTCCTGCCCCACCTGCCTTCCTCAGGTGGAACCAGGGAAAGGCCTGTCGGGCCTGCTCAGGAGTCTTTTGGTCTTTCTGCTCCTGCTGTGCAGAAGCTCCTGGCCCGCCTGGCTCCCTTCCGCAGCCTGAGCCAAGGTTAACCATGAGGGATGAGGAAGTGTTTTCTCAGGGAAACACTTTTTGTGCCTCTCTGCTGCACAACCTTGGGTAATGTGAAGAATTCACACAAGGACAGCGTTTGACCCAGTTCCTGGTGCTGTTTCTCCACATGGAGATAACTGTGTGTGTCCTGTTTGGTGACGCACTTTATAAACAGTGAAACTAAGATTGAGAGAGGTTTCAGAGACGGGGTCTTTCAGGGGAGCCTGCTGAGGTGTGTGCATGGAGATGCTGTTCAGTTTTAAGAACTGGTACCTAGCCAGGTGTGGTGGCACATTCCTGTAATCCCAGCACTTTGGGAGGCTGAGGCAGGAGGATCGCAAATTCAAGCCCAGCTGGACAATTTAGTGAGACCCTGTCTCAAATTTTAAAAGGGCTGGGGATGTAGGGCAGTAGGAAAGCCCTGGGTTCAATCCTGTACTGCAAAGAGAGGGGGGTGGGAGGAGGAGAAGAGGAGGGAAACAAAGGAGGAGGGTGGGGAGGTCTAGAACTACTAGAACTAGAACTGGAATTCGATCCCCAAGATGGACATGTGGTCACACAGCACGGCTACTGTCACCCGACTATCCAGAGCCAGCCAGTGGGTGACCCGTACTCCCCAAATGTTGACTTTCTTTTTTGTTGGTACCGGGGATCGAACTCAGGCAGGTGCTGTGCTGCTGAGCTACATCCCTGGCCTGCAAATGTTGACTAAGAAAACTTACTTCACTCCCTCGAAGAGGGTCGGTGTTCTGCCTAATGGATCTATGGAGTGTGTGTGAGGACAGCCCATTCCTCCGCCCTGGTGGGAAAGAGGGTCAGGACAACTCTGCTGTGTGGAGCTGCCCTGTGCATTGTGGGACATCTACAGCACCCTGACCTCTGCCCACTAGAGGGCAGTAGCACCCGTGGTCCTGACCACCAGGTGTCTGCAGATGGTGCGGAACTCAAGGCTGGGAGGTGCGGGTGCTGCCACCCCCCTGCGTTGGGAAGCAATCTCAGGCCCCTCTGCTGAGTGGCCGGCCCCTCTTCTCATCCCGCCACTTCTGAGGTATGTTAGGGTGCCCCCAGCTTGGGCTGTGATGAACAAGGCTACCCCACAGCCTTCGAGGGGGCGCAGCAGGCGTTCCTACCTCACCGGTGCTTGGCAGTGGCCTGCGGGGCTTACGGTGCCCAGGTGCCCCCGGCTTGTGCTCTGTCCCTCTGCCACCTGGTTTTCCGGAGTGGTTGGACCAGGTCTACTCTTGCAGCCACATCCAAGAGTTCCAGTTGCTCTGCATCTTTGGGAGGCCTGGATTCCCCCTGCTGGGCATCTAGAGGTTGGGCCTGACTCCTCCTTTGGGCGTCCCACCGCCCGAGTGGCCTGTGAGTCCCACACAGAAGACACCAGTGCTGCGTGGACAGTGGCATGGCGTCTGGCCGGTTGCCCTGATATCCTGCGATCCCAGTCTCAGCTCCTGGTTTTGGTCACAGAGAGGCAGTCACCCCTTGGGGGCTGCTGCCCCCATGTTGGTGACCAGGCCCCCACCCCACCATAGCAGGTCCTGGGCTCGGGGACAAGGCCACATCCCCTCTTTCTTGGTGCACTGCATTTCCTGCTATGGTTGTCAGAGCCGAATGTCATAGCTGTGACTCAAAGGGTACCAACCTTGTTTCCAGCTTTGTCATCGACCAGACCTGTCAATCAGACGAGAACCCATTCTCCTTTTAGGCTGAGCCGGTGGGTGTTTTGCAGCAGCAGGGCTCCTCCCTTGTCATGGACAGGTTTGCCTGCTCTCCCTGTGCTGCATCCCTCAGAGGATAAGCGTGTTGATGGCAGACACAATGTCTTCCCTGGCTTTTTTTCCCCCAGTATTGGGGATTGAACCCAGGGGCTTCGTACTGACCCACATTCCCAGCCCTTTTTACGTCTTTTCTTTTGAGATAGGGCCTCGCTAAGTTGCTAAGTTTCCCAGGCTGGGCTTGAATTTGAGGTCCTCCTGCCTCAGCCTCCTGTGGTCCTGTGCTGGGACCACAGGCATGCACCATCACACCTGGCTCTCCCTGACTTTTGGTAAGCACAGATTCCACCGTGATGTGGTCCTCACTGTCGTCATCATTGTGGTTTGAACCGTCTCCATGTTGTGGTCTGTAGTGGTTTATACAGTTAGCCTCTCGACATGTGTGACCTCACTTGTTCCTCCCAGTTGCGCTGGAAATGTGGCAGGGCAGTGACTGTTCCTCTTCTGACAAGGAGCTGAGAAATGAAGGACGGTCGTAAATCGAGACCCAGCCCCAGGACAGTACTAGTGCAGCGGAACCAGGTCCACCTGCCTGCGTTCATTTGGACGCTATGTAGACAGCGCTCATTCAAACCGCGGACTCGGACCTGCAGAACACAGACACAAGCGTGAACCTGCAACCCCAGCTATGCAGGAGGCTGCAGTGGAAGGATCATGCTCTTGAGGCCACTTAGCAAGAACTTGTCTCAAACTAAAAAAAGAGAAAGGGGAGGGGAGATAGCTTAGTGCTCCCTGGGTTAACCCCTGGTACTGTAAAACAACAATAGCAAATATGGATTTCCCCTTACAGTTGAATTTAACCTCTCATTCTGCACAAAGATGGAAATTTGAGTCAAGTCGACAGGGCCATTTCCAGGCCTTGGTCCTATGGGTTTTAGATTCCTTCATTCCCATCTCGGGGCCCCCACGTTTGGAGGGCCGTGTGCTGGGTGGGGACAGAAGGAGCAGATTCCGACCCCATGCCGGGTCCAGCGCTCAGTGCCTGGCTGCTTCTCGCTGGTGTCTGGCTAATGCACCTGGCTTCACCATCCCATGAGCTCTTTCGGGGCTACTCACCCATTGCCTGCCATTTCTGTGTCTTTTTTTAGGGCTTGGGAAATTTCCAGATGCCCCCAGGGCCTTGCTGTGGACAGAGATGGGAGCCTCCTGGTCCCCTGGTGCCACCACAGTGGTGGGGAGAAAATCTCCAGGACCTTGTGGCCACCTTGTAGTTATCCTTGTGACCATCTCCTTAAATTTACTGTGATGGTGTAAATGTCCCCTCTAAAACTCATGTGCAAATTTGATCCCTGCCAGGTGTGGTAGTATACACCTGAATCCCAGCACTTGGGGAAGCTGAGGCAGGAGGATTTCAAGTTCAAGTGCCATCTGGGCAACTTAGTGAGACCCTGTGTCAAAATAAAAATTTATTAGGGCCAGGGATTTAGCTCAGTGGTTCCGCCGCCTGCCTCGCAAGCGCAAGGTCCCGAGTTCAATCCCCAGTACCAAAAAAAATTAAAAAATAAAATAAATTTAAAAAAATAAAAATTTATTTTAAAGGGCAGAGGCTGTAGCTCAGTGCAAAGGCCCCGGTAGTCTCCAGCACCACCAAACAAAACCCCACTGTGAGATGTGAGACAGGACCAGGAGATGTGGTGGTGAGGCCTTGGCCCTGGAGAACAGAGTAGCCCATTGGTCAGCTCATACGCTCCTGGGTCCACGGGTTCTCCTGAGAGAGGGTCTGTCCCAGAAGCCAGTGTGGCTCTGTGTCTCGGACGTGTCCCTCTCGCTGTGTACTGCCCTGTGCCCTGCCCCTGCCAGCACTAGGTCCTCCCCGACACGGCGCTTGGCCTTGGAGCTCCCGGGCTTAGAACCACGGGCCCAGTCAGCCTCTGTTCTGTATGGATTTCCTGCCTGTGGCGGCATCAGATACATCAGATACATCTGCTGGGGCTGCGTCCGCTCCAGGTCTGGGTCAAGGGAGGGAGGGGATGAGGGGCCCCTTTTAGGGACCAGCTTGTTCCTGCTGTGCCCCTCAGGCACCCGGCCATGTTGTCGCACTCTTAGAGAAGACTTCACTCTGTCACACGGTTCCTGAAAGGCTTGGTTTTCCTCAGATGAAGAACACATCTTAAGATCACCGTGCCTGTGTCGTGTCCGTGTGTGTTACCTGCCCTTCCTCCTGACTGGTCACCCTGGCTGAGCTGCTAAAGCCTGCATCTGAGGGCGTCCCCTGGCTCCTTTGGGGCTGCAGGTCTAGCTTGTCCTCCAAAGAGGGTGGCACTTACCAGAAATGACAGGACCCAGGTGTCAGCAGCCGTAACCCCCAGCCTGTAGTGATGGTGCTGAGCC